ACAATTCAGTTCAATTTGGTTAATAGAACGAATATGCTATACCATGTAAAAGCTGCCTCTGGTTCAATTTGCAATGTTCACGACTGCGACAATTTTGACTCGGTTTGAATCTATATATCGAGATGTAGAAATTTGAAGTATATGGCATGTAAAACATTGTAAATTAACTTTTCTTTTAATTTTAACAGAGAAATTTTAAAATTGTTCTTTTACTTTTGCTGAATACCACAAGGCAAATAACGCTAAATAATAAAAACAGAAAGCATCACCTTATCGTTATTATTTACACGGCAGTAATTTAATCAAGGTAAATTCACGGTTAGGTTTGGACACGAAGAGAAATCAAGAAATTTTAAACTATATCTTATTTCAATGTAAATGTAACGATAATAAACGATGATTATTCATAAAATATAAATTGTTCGAAATAACGTCCATGGGCGTTATCCTTTAAAAATAGCATTTATGGTTTCAAAATAACGCCCATGGGCGCCCCGAAATAATGCGCACCCATATGACATTGATAGACTTTGATAAATTGCATTTTTTTAATATAAATTCGACCTCGGCACAGTCTCGAGCTCTTTTATTTTTATTGTCGCTACTCTTGAACCCGTTTCCAATCGATTTCATAACATAAAGAAGCATGTGGCTTCTATATATAAAATTACCTTAAACATAAACGCGATAATATACTTCGTTTTGTGCTCATGTTCATTTGTAAATAAAGCAAAACAGGCATGCGAAACAAACAAAAAAAATAACGATCACATTTTATGTTGTGGGTGTTCATCATGTAATACGAGAAAAAAAGGAGTCCTAACGTAAATGTAAAGCAAAACAACATAAATACGAGTGAAAAAAAAATTTAAAAAATAAAAAAATTAAAAACAATGAAAAACGCTCATACATGTACTTTGAAAAAAAGTACCTACTTGTGATTTTTATTTTTTATCGTTGATAGCCATATACATGTACATGTAGGCACAGGTTTAGCAGAAAAATCAACCATATGTCTCGAAATAACGCCCATGCGCGCGTACTAAAATAACGCGCAGATGGGCGTTATTTTGCGAAAATACGGTTGTAAAATAGTACATGTATAATAAAATATAACTGCAATCACGCGACGGATTATATGCTGTAATTACGCGCGATCGATTGTGCTGAAGAATGTATTTAAAAGATAGCCTTATTCGAACGAATAAACCGAATAAAAGTGTTATATTTTATTCGAATAAGGATATTCGTCGAAATAACAAATACGAATCTGAAGCTCTGGTCGTTCACTGGTGAGGCAGGATTATAGTATCAGTTCTTGTGATAATAAAGTCATTGTTGTTGTTATTGTACGATAATGGAGAAGACAATGTAATTATTGGTGGAACTCATCTCTTCTCTCTCTCACATAATTCGACCTGTCAACAAAAACTTTAACTTCTAAACTCATCAATAGATTAAACAGATTAAGTTTAAATTAATTTCTTCAAGAATTTATAAATCCAACCTATTGAAGTTATGTACCATAATTAGATTAGATTAACTTAAACAATGTGAAATTTTCAATAAGTGATTTTATGTCAAATCTCACTTGAATCCGCTTGAATCTGGCAACGATGTCTTGAATCGTAAAGATGTCTAAAGAAGTTGCAAATTTAATCTCTCTTATCTAGACATGTGCTTGGCGGAACAAAGATATTTGTATTAATTTACTTAAGTCTTCACAGAATAAAATTAATATTGCTTTAAAAATTATTTTTAACCTTACCAAATCGAAGAGAAACTCCGCTGTGCATATGTATAATTAAATAATATATTGATCATACAACACTAAATTTTTATTAGAGCTGTTTTCATTAGGTCATTGATAATAAATAACGTAAAAACTATAATAACTTTTTTCGATTCATTTTCTTTGCGTGTGTTCTCTACCTATTTTTCTTGTCATTTTCTTTTAATAATGATACGCAAAAGTCTAATCAAATGAAGCAGTTTTTGTTTGTCAATGGGCATTTGCTTTCCCGAAATTTATCAGCAATAAACCAATGTCATTTATAGCACAAGTGCAAACCAAAAAAAAAAATATAAAAGGTTCTAGTTTATCACACCACCATTGATGATCGATCTAAATTTGGAATGATGAGGTTTTTTGATTGGATGCCAATTAGTGAGGTGATATAATTAAAAATTTGGTACCTGAATTAATTGTTTTTCAGAACGTATGATGTTTTTATAGGATTTAATATCCAATCAGTATTATTTTTTAGTTCGTGTGAAAATTCATAAAAAAGTGGGCCTAGATGTAGTCTAGATCTTTGGTATAAATAAGAATTTTTAACATAAATGGAACAATTAAAAATGATTTTATTATTCGTCAAGAGAAAAAGCCAGTTAACGTTAATTACTTATTTCCATCACTTGTTGTAAACCAAAAACATGAATTTTTTACGGTTCACTTGTTACTAACTATTTTCTTTAATCTCTTCACTGGATTATTAAACTAATTCTAGATTTCAGTCACATCTGGGTAATTCTAGATTAGGAATGCCCTCAGCAGAACATCCCGATCAGCTTATTTGTCCTATATATAACAATTTAGATCAAAAGGCTCGAGCTTTATCTCGATTAATTTGTTATATGTTATGTATATGCACATACGTTCAACACAAAAAATGAACAATAAAAATAATCGTCATATAATTGTAATGTATAAAAAAAGACACTCCTCACAATGAGCAAATTAAAACAGCATTCGCGATCTCTCTTTCTATCTTATTCGTACAATGAAGATTTGTAGCAAATTAGTGTGTAATAACGTGTAACTGAAAATAAAACCTCCGCGTTTCAAAAGTAACACGTTGCAATATTTATGAGTCTTGAACTATCGGATGTTCTTTGTAATACAGAAGAGTCTAGCTTCTTGAAAAGCCTATTTTTTATAAAGAAATTCTAGAGTCTGCTCTTCGTTTATTGTCTAAATTTGTTCTAGTCGTTCTGGAATCCAGCTTAAGTCATGTGAAACTTCTAACCTACTCAACCGCTTATGCGACTTGGTATTATTGAGATGGATCTCTGGCTAATACATAGATCTCGAAACGGGCCAACTTGTGCTAGAACAGCAACACAATTTTGTTTAGCTCGAGCAATCAATGTGTTCTAGAACAAGCCAATTAATTGACCGGACTTTTAGCATCTATCGGCCATCTGCTAGAACAGCAGCACAATTTTTTGTTAGCTTGAACAATTATCATGTTCTAGTTCATCGGCATTAACCGATTCGGAGAGATCTACCTGATAAGACTTGAAATTTAAATATTTCACATGACTTTTGTTCCAAACTAGAGCATATCTAGAACGGGCTAGAACACATCGCTTAAATATTCAATTAAAGAAACTAATGAATTAATAATATAACGATACACTATACTTGAAAATGATGAATGGGATGCTTCTAGGCCACTGTTTATTCAAAATGTACAATCTTAATTATGGAATGCATCTCAGTCAGTCGATAATTTACTTTAATCATGAGAACGTCTCAGCCTCTACGTTAATCTGGATATTTATTAACTAGCAAACACATCTTGTGTGCTCCACTTATTTTGTTGTTTAGTCAAAAGTCAATAATCACATGTGAAACTAGCTAAAAATTAAGAAAAGAACTCACTTATCGTTTATATTTATTTTATATCTGATTTTATTGCAAGCATAATTTCATCATAGCCAATTTTCAATAAACGATCTCTACGGAAATAGGCCTTAAACTTTCAAGATATTTAAAAGTTATTGTACCTAAATATGCTAAATTTTTGGATTAGCAGTATCAAATGCAATTATTACAATAAGCAAAAATATACTACAGTATATTATTAAAATTTATGATACAACTCACATAATCCATATTAAAAGGAAATCAATACATGTATATTTTGTTTAATTACGTAAAAGAAAATAGCTTATATAATCATTAATAATACAATAACATGAAAAAAATTATCAGTCATTTAAAATTATTATACTGTTTTCTCCATATAAATGTATTCTCGCCTTAAAATGTTTTTAATTGTTCGTAAATATTACGAGAGATATACATAAGCAAGAAGGGAGATGTTTTCTTTTTCTCCGTTGCGGCATCCAAAACAACATTATAAAAAAGACCGCTCTGGAACCGATTTTACGAAACAAATTTATTTTAAGATATACAGCATCGGGTGAATATTGATCGCATGGTTGCTTTGCGGAAAAATCTACGCTTGGTGTGACTGTTGATTGCAGTAAAATTGAAAGAACCCCCGAGTCTTTACCTCTACCATAATTAGAACGAATAATTTCGGCTCATTATAGACATGAAAATGGCGCCATCATTTTGGATCAAATCAAAATCGCGAACAAAATAAATCATTATGAATCAAAAATGGAACTTTCATGTCTGAAACCATTCACCGTTTGTGCATGTACATACACAATGTTTGTAAATGGGAACGAAAGTTCTTTGAATCCTATTTTAAAATCGCTTATTGACATGTACATGTAAATCCGAATGCAATTTTTTGTTTTGGTTAGTCCAATTTTTAATCTATGTCTGCCAGATGCATGCGGTTTGTGATTTATGCATTGTAATATATATTCCGAATCTAACGAATGCCCCATAGAGAAAAACTTAACGTCCATCTTTAGTTTATTTGTTTATTGCATGCATACACGTATAGTGGGATTTCGTACGACACAAATTAACAAGCCCAGAAAGGTGAATTTTCGAACGGTCTCGACCTTCGTCAGGCATCCATTGTATAACTAACGACAAACAATATTTTCCCTTCATAAATTATTTATATTCCCATACCTCGTGATCATCATCTTCACTCCCAATTCTTTATATATAAAGTGCCCACCACAATTCAGAATAAGTACAACATCATATAACACACATTACAAATACTCGTTTAACGATAACACACACACTCAGATAAAATCTATCCATAGAACACACAAAGATAACCATGACAACCACTTATTTTTCACCAACAGTTAAAGTGCCGGTGATACAACCAACACACGTGTCAGAGGGTTCCTATAAAAAGATCGGAAATGTAGACGCATATTGTGTCGGTCGCTCAAATAACAAGAAAGCTGTCATAGTGTCCCATGATATGATGGGATTCAATCCTCGATCGGAACAATTATGTGATATAATTGCTTCGCAGGGATTTCATGTAATAATGCCATATTTCTTCAACGATGAGCCATATACAATAGAACGCATAAAACGCGAAGGGTAAGCTCTTTCATAATCAAATGTTTAAAAGTGATCATCACCAATTACATGTATAAGATTTAACGTTCTCGTGATTATTATCATTAGAAATTTTGAACGATTTCTGTGGTTATCACAAGCAGCACCACAAGAATACGTAAATAAAGTAATTGACATAATAATCACATATTTACGATCAGAAGGATACAGGGAATTTGGTTTCTTTGGTGCATCATGGGGAGGGAAATGCGCGGTTTTCGCTTCACATAACTCAGCATTTACCGCAGCGGTTCTTGTGCATGTGCCGTGGTTAAATGCAAACGATTTTAAAGATACACAGTGTCCGGTGGCAATATTGTCATCAGGTGATTTAAGAGATTTGGTGAGTAAAGGAAAATCGTGATGGTTACCTTGGGACTCGTCATCATTACTTATTATCTCTATGGCTTTCTTATAGACACCAATAGTTCAAGCTCTAAAATCTACCAAACCATTCGCACGTAAAATTGTGCATAAACGTTTTCCGGAAGCAAGGTATGGATGGGTTGGAGCACTCAGCAATTACTCAAATCCAATGATAGCCGAACTAAACACGGAGACGATGCGAATAGCAGTCACTTTTTTTCGAGAGAATATCGGCGTAAGGAATTATTAGATTTTACCTCACAATCTCATAGAGCTGTAACATACATACATACATACATACATACATACATACATACATACATACATACACACATACATATATACATACATATCATTGAACATTTTTTGATTGTTTTGTACAATCATTTGCGCGATTAGATTTGTGCATGTACTATAGAGCATAGTGATAGAAAATCGGTCAAAGTGCCTTGAATTAAAGATAAGGCGGAAAAATTTAAGTCCAAGTTAACAAGACACGAAACAATATGGTTTAAGGGCTAATCTTTCACGTTCAAGTATGCATTCTTACAGACAACCCTTTTTTCATCGATTCAATTGTGATAGATTTGCATTATTCATCAAATACCTTTTTTTTTTTTATACAAACTAAGCCAAGAAAAAAATATATTTTTTTTTCTTTCTTTTTATCGTTATGTCGTAAAACCTGTAATAGAGATAATACAGGTGCATGAGAAAATCTTCTTGAAGTACATGTATATCGAGTTGAATAATAAATATGCAAACGCATCTATTTACAGTATATCACAATTGCAATTGAACTTAATATAATGTACGTTCGATATAGTAACGTGATTAGAATGACCAAGGAAAGGACTGCTTCAGATTCATAGCGCTCCTGTTAACGAGCAGCTCGAAGCGACAGTATAAGAAAAACTTTGCTTGTTATGTTCACAACCCTTTATGTTCAATTGGTTTGACTTCTAATGATGATGAGTTAGGACGAGTTCTAATGCTTTTGCAAAATGAGAAGTCATCGTTTTCGTCAAACCAAGAACAGCATTCTTCTTATGAATTTGGTAGGTTTACTTGTAGACATTCGTTCTTTCTGATAGATAAAATCAAATTCTGTAAAACAGTATAACAAGCATTCTTGCCTTCGTTCAGAACATACGATACATTTGTAATTTTTTACTATAATAGGGTTCTATTAGAGATAAGATAAAATCGATACTATTCTTAATAAAAATACGACTTGTGTAAATTGCATTCGATGAATTTGTTGTTTTTTCTCAAGCTCTGTCATTTTAGTTTAAGACGCGTGATTTTTTCATGTGTTTGCTGTAGTTACTGAAAATACAAGTATCTGATTTCAATCCCTAACAATGATTCTGAAAAAGTCTTCAGATTCCAACGATACGGTGGCGATTTACGTAACTGGTAACGTAATACAATCTGATCTCGATGCACCCGATACTCTGCATATGTTCCATCTCGTGAAATTAGTATTCTTCCCAATATCGTACCATTATGCATTTCATCTCAGATCGGTTTCTTTATGCATGTACAAGATAAATACATGTATCATGCTCTTGTTAAAAAAAAGGGTTTATCAACAGGTAACAATCTCGTGCATAACCATTCCAAACTATAAATTACTGCAGCTTTAGTTTATTGATCACAACTCTAGGCTCATATAGGTTTCTATATCTGTTGGCAATGAGTCCAAAATTAGCAATGAATAAAGAGCTTGTAATAGTGATAGAAACATTATGATATGAAATAAATCCCATCATAATTTAACCCCTTGTAACATAATGGGATCGTCTAACCATGAATTGTTTTGAAACTTCTGGTATTCAGCACTTATGAATCTTTCAAAAGATTGACAAATTACCAGTAACAAGTTGATCTTGCATAGATTATTAATTCTAGAAACGATTGGTTATTTTCCTGATGCTCGAGTCTTTTTTGATATATCTTTACATTATTTAACAAATGTATGCGGACCCGCCATAGTAGAGCATGTTATACATAAAATAGCCAGACCACCAACAACACAAATCTTCAAGATTTTGTTTTTGTGATGAATTGTCCTCAAAGACAGTTCATTTTCAAAGGATAAATATTCGTCGTATTAAATGACAAAAGCTCCAATATTGGATTCTTCTTTAAACGCATCAAACCTATTCTTCTTACTTAACATTACATTTTACTTTACACAAACTCGTTTCTATAGCCTCGTCATTGCATATTGTGACTTCATTTTTATTATTTCCAACATGACTCACAGGTCAATGAACGAAATATGAGTCATCATATTCCACCTGTAATTTAGTTTAGCTTTGTTACACAAAGTCGTACCATACCGATTCAATACGAGTCATGCGGCAAAAATACATTAATGCTGCAGCTACAAAATTTTTGCAAATATATCATTTAATAATTATATGGCTAGTGGTATTCAATGGTAAAAGCAGAATATGTTATGGTAATATGTTTTCCAATAAAGCGTCGAATTGTTGGGATTTACTAATTAAGTTGAGCAATAGACAAATATTGTCTATTATGTACATGTATGCTTAATGCATGAATATGTTGTCCTAATAAATTTGTGCATTTTAATTGTTTATATTGACAGAATACATGTGTATCAGAAATTTAAAGTCAGCCAACTTTCATACATGTACTTGGCAACGATCTCTGAAGGATGAATATCTCATGAACTAGTGGTCCGATTCGAATGAGTTTGATATTATTCAATTCGTAATGATGAGACAGACAAAATCATCCGAATTAGATTGTTGGTTTCCAAAAAATTCTTTGCAGATTTGCCAAGCTTCGTTTTTTTCACAAAAATGAAGTTTCAAATAATTTTGAATATATCAAATTCATTCTACAGTTCATTGGCTCCTGAGATAATTTTTATAAAAAAAGATACTTTGAAACTCGGTAAAGATTTATTTCTGTAAATGGGGAACTAACGTTTTAGGTTTAATTCGAATGATTTTGATATTTTTCAACGAGATGCATCAATATCATTCGAGTTGGACCGCTGGTTCCCGAGATACTCCAAAACTTTGGCATCAAATTTATTCAAAATAGATAGCTGGTTTTCAAGATACTGGAAACATTGTAAAATGGACAATTGTCTGAATTGTCTGATGTAGATGATAAATCGAACTGCGCCTCATCGTACATTACATAGGACAATTTGGACATATTCAGTGTCCGATAAAAAAAATCGGACATACGAAGGTGCCCAACACTGTATGTTCATATTATGTGTCAGAGACATTTATCCTAGTTCTTTTCACTCCCTAATTATTATATCATATGCATGTAATTGTTTAAAGATTTCGCGTATTTTACATGTACTGTATAATGTAAGCTATAAACTACATCATTATTATTATTATCACAAGATAATCACAGACAGGCTTTCATTTTGTTCTCAAATTCAATTAGGGTAACAATGTAAAACAATGTTTACTTTTAACAATATGAAAGATCAAAAAAGTTTGATATTTTAAAGATGAGTGAATTCAGCTTTTTTAGTAAAGATTTTTTTAAAAGTTCTTATCAAAAGAACTTTTACTGTTGCTAAAAGAAGAGCGTCCGAGCTTGAATTGTTGAAGTATTAAGGGGAGCGGATGAGTGTTTCTCTCGCTGAGTTATTGAGTTGTTATGGTGAAAGTATAAATCATTTTTTTATTTATTTATTAGTGGACTGGTTGACAAGGGGATAGTGGTGCCAAAAATCTAGTTTATAATTCTACTGGTTATATTGGTTAATTATAATTTAAACACATTTGGGGTAATATATCACGCTTTGATTTAAATAATCCCCCGGTGTTTTCTACTTCTGAATTTCCTTTTTATTCTAGTCGATACGATATGAAAACGAAAAGAAGAGAGAGCGGAGAGCTGTCTACAAAGTGACAACAAAGAGACTCCTCTTCCTCTTCTCTTGATCTGGCAGGTCTGTTTCTGTGAGCCCGGATTCTACCACCGGTCCTTCGTTACCTCCCATAGCTGCTCCTCCCATAGGGGAGCGTCATAGACCGCTGCCGCAGACATCGTCGTTATCGCAATCATTGTCACGAGCTTCATCAGAAGTGAGTTCGCAAGAACCACGTTCTTCGCGAGATCTGTCACGATGTACTGAGATTTATCACAACGATCAAATTTCAGCTACTCCTACCAATCCTCTCACTAATCTCCCACTAACTTCATTTGTTGGGCGTAGTCAGTGGGAAGGATCTGTTTGTATGGTAGATCCTCTCCTACTAACTCCGCCCAACAAACGAATCACGTCACCGCTCCCGTTGACCAAACCTATCCTCCAAGGTTATCCTCGCAGGAAGAACATATTCCTGGGTTCTCGTAACGAATATGGGCAAACAGTGAGCCAGATAAGGTCACCGAATCTTTATATGTGCCACATCCCAGCATAGATCATCACTACCACAAACCCGATCACTACCATAACCACTGCAAACCCGATCACCACTAACTCGGCAAATTACTTTACATCAATAGCTGTCCAATTATCAGAAGATCAAAGACGGCATTATTTCGTCAATTTGCTCTCACTGATATAGGATATGTATAACATGTGCAGATTAATCTATAGTATTAATCAAAATTTGGCTCAATATCAAATAAAAGTTAGTAATCTATCTAAAATTTTTGTCTTGTTATACTTATTTAGTTAATTATTTATTATTTTATTTATAATCTTTATTTTTATATTTATATAGTAATACAGTGGCGCTCAAAAGTATTGCATCACCCGGATGATAAATTTCACGATTTAATAACGTTTCATATACAATATCAATCAATATATAAATAGGCTCATTATAATGCCTATAT